CTATCGCTCTGTACTATTACTTTCATGACAGTCGAAGACAATGGTTTCTGTAATTTCGAAATCTTCCGAATAAAAAATTTTCGTATCCACAAATATTTACTGCCATACCTAACACTACAAGTCTGCTTTTGCTAGGCTAAAATGTTTGTTAAGAAAGATGGTACCACAACTAACTGAAAAAAAAAAGTGGCTAAACGATAATTTCTCGGAAAAAAGGGACTTGTGAAAGTTGGGAAGAAATTTTCGAATTGGCTGGAAACTTAAAAAATAAAATGAGTAACGCCGCGCAGCAGGGTAGATGGAGCGATCATGTATTTTGCACAGTTTTACCCAACGGACGATTGCTGTTAAGAAGCTTAGGCGATGCGATCATACATTCTGCGCAATTTTGTCCAGAAGATGCTTGCTCCAAAGAATGTTCAGTGCTTTACAGTTTGATATGTGCGAAAAAAGACGAGATCTTGCCTAGTTCCTGAGCTAGGAATTCTCACACCGGAACCCTTGCTTGTTCCATTACGTGAGTTGTAAGCATAGAAGGGAGATGAATTTGGTTTTTCAAGGTCACGCTTGGATATCAGGCATCCTCAGAATCTGGACTTGTTTTGTTCGGTTCTCGAATTGAATGGTAAAAACATCTTTGCATTTTCAGCTTTCATATGTGCGTGTGGGACCAAGGTATACGAGAAAGTTCGAATTTCCGCTATCATATTTGTGCAGGAAGCATCCTGCTAAAATTTCCGGAATTCCTTTTCTCTCTGCTTCGTTTCGTTCCATGTTAGAAAATTCTCCACTTTGAATCTGGGTTGGTCGTACGTGAAGCATAGTAGTACGTGGAAACAAAATTTGAAATTCAAGGATCACGCTTGAACAGGGAACATTCCTCTAAAGTTTCACCCTTTTATCTTGTTCGGTTCCGGGGACAGGAAATTTCATGTATGGATTCACGTGTTTGGACGTGGGCATATTTGGAAGATGAATCTGAAATTCTGGAGTGGCAAATATACAGGAAATATCAGTTTGAAATTTCTGCTTTCTATTCTGTTCGAGTACCCAACTAGAAAATCTCCTTATCAAGCTTTTGCGTGCGTATATATGAGATCTGGACATACGTGATAGTTTCGGAATTTAGAGGACTTGGGTTGCCCGCCCTCGAGAAACATCGTCTTAAAATTTCAGTTTTCTATCTTGTCAGTAAGTTAAAAAATTTTCCAATAAAAACTTTCATGTGTCCATACGTGAAGCACTGGAAGCGTTGGAAGCTGAATTTAAAATCTTTGAGTCGCACATGATCAAAAAACATCCTCCTAAAATTTCAATTGTCTGTCTTGTCTAGTTTCCGAGTTAGAGAATTTCCCGCCAAAAACTTTCGCATACTCGTACATTAAACATAGGTTTTTTGGGTGTGAAACTAAATCTATAGAACTGCACGTATTCAAGGAACATCCTCTTAAAATTTCAGCTTTCTAGCTTTTCTCGTTCAGTTGAAAATTCCCGCCAAAATTCGTGCACAGGGGTACGAACAGGATTTCTCAATAGGACCATCCATCGCTGTTGCAGCACAAAATGTAATTATGGCATATAGCCCTCATTATAATGAACAAGGTTACGAATCACGGAGATTGTTTGACTATGATTATCAGGATGAGATGTTGCATTTTCACAGTGGGCGATCGGGGACCTGTTTTATGGCCCCTACATGAAATAGTACCTAAAAATACAGTACATAGTGCTGTTACATCCTTTTTGGCACTGTGCCAAGGCGCGTAGTCATTGCTAAATCGTTATGCTTTTTTTAATAAATCTTCATATTTTTTAATTATATTTGTGTAACTGGGTGGGTTGTTTGTTCTTTTTTTTTCGGAATTGCTAAAATCGGGCTCGGCTCGGCCAGTTGAGGAGACGAGTTGCGATGACTCGGCAAAAACAAAAGGCTTCGTTGTGTAACAAAGCTTGCCCCTCCAGATCCCCCTCGAAAAAGGATTCACAGTGATTTCGCTTGTGCTGCTGGCTATTTGGATGACCTGTTACCTTCTCGAATCTACACTGCTACTTTCTCTTGAACTCCTTCACATCTTGCAATCTGCACCGATTCTGCCGTCTGTGTTTACACAGTTTAGGGATGAAACACAGACCGGACAACAGCTAATGCACACATACAGGCTCACTTATCTGGGTATCTGAATTAGCACTCACTGCTTTCGCACAATTGACAATATGCGACTGTGTCCCTTTCATCGGCTGGCCTACAACGCCAAACAAACACCCATAGTTTACATTTTCCAGATTTTTTTTTCTTTAAAAAAAACTACCAAAACACTTGCCATCTGCACTTCCCGGGTCAACCTGGATACTCGCAATCTGCGTAGCCCCTGACTTGGCATATGGCTTGTCAAGACCGTCATCATCACTTTTATCCCTTCTTGTAAAACAGTGCCCCGTACCCCTCGCCAGACGTTGCTGCATGAAGCTTCTCGGGACCACATATTTGTCCTGAAAAGAAATCTTTCACGATTCATCGTCATTTTTTTGGTGGTGCTGTTCTCTTTGTGAGACAGAAGTGAACATTGCTTTTCACTTTTTTGCTATCGTACTGACGCGAGGTCCAGTTGTAGTAACGGTAAGAAATGTATACGACTTAATGGACCGAAACATTTCTTATCTATAACAAATATTTCCATACCCCCATTTCTCTTTTCTGTTTCGCTTTTTACTGTCCAGTTGTGGTAACGGTAAGAAATGTATACGATTTAATGAACCGAAACACTTCTTATCTATTACAAATATTTCCATACGCCCATTTCCCTTTTCCATTTCTTTTTTTTCTACTTCGTTTTCTTCCCTTCATTTTTTCTGCTTCATCATTTTCTCTTTATCCTCTAGTATCTTGTTGCCTTGCTGGACGGGATCTATTTTATCCTTTAATATCTTTTTGCCTTGTTGAATGGGATCTATTTTATCCTTTAATATCTTGTTGCCTTGTTGAACGGGATCTATTTTATCCTTTAATTTCTTATTGCCTTGCTAAATGGGATCTATTTTATCCCTTAATTTCTTACTTCCTTGCTGAATGGGGGAATTTATGCGACTTAATGGACCGAAATATTCCAGTTCAGTCCTCATTTTTATTTTTTTTTTTGTTTTTACTTTTATTTTTTTTACGGCCTTTTCCATAACCATAAAATATCTAAAATTTAAATTCCTGTCTTTCCCACTTTTTTTCCAGTTTTGCATGGATACCATTCAATAATCCGCTTTGTCCATCTCTGATCTGGGCCCCGTATATCGGGACAACTCAATTGTCCTGATACATGCTGCTTTGATATCCCCCTCCCTCAGCAGTGCTATTTGCATAAATCCGATTGAGTGAGTGACCCAGG